CTACTCTCTCTACTCTCTACTACTCTCTCTCTCTCTCTCTCTCTCTCTCTCTCTCTCTCTCTCTCTCTCTCTCTCTCTCTCTCTCTCTCTCTCTCTCTCTCTTCTTTCTCTCTCTCTCTCTCTCTCTTTCTCTCTCTCTCTCTCTCTCTCTATCTATCTATCTATCTATCTATCTATGTAACTATCTATCTATCTATCTATATATCTATCTATCTATCTATCTATCTATTTCGCTTTCTCCCTCTCTTTCTTGCGCTCTCTCTCCTACATACACATACACATTCTGTCTCTCGCGGGCTCCTTCCCTCCCTCTCTCCTATTCCCGCGCTCTCTCATCCTCGGTCCCCCGTCTCACTCCCTGTACATGCAAAATTTGCTCCTTTTGTGACTAAATTCCATATGTTTATTTCAAGTTTATACGTCCACGCACGCAGACATGCACAATTTTATGACAATGCTTATGGACTCACCTCTTTCCCGCGCACACCCGGCAATACAATGACGAAGGAGAAAGCCACGATCGCCGTCGCGAATATGAAGCCAGCGATGAGAACGTCGGCTGTGACGGGGTTCAGGTTCTCTCCGTACATCGTCGGATAACCGAAGTTACGGTACGCCTGGTAGATCTTGCCAGCCATGGCTGCTGGTGACGTCTCCACAAACTCTAAATAACTAATAACTAAAATTATAGTAGTAAACGCCATATTGATGATGGATGATGACGATGATGATGATGGTGGTGGTGATGCTAATAATAATAATAATAATAGTAATAATAATAATTATTATAATAATAAATAATAATTTATTATTACATGTACACACACGCACACACGCGTACGCGCACACTCACACACACGCGCGTACACACACACTCACACACGCGCGCGTACACGCACACTCACACACACACGCACACACACACACACACACACACACACACACACACACACACACACACACACACACACACACACATTCGCACGCGCGCGCACACATGCACTGCGTGATAGAAAAATTTAAAATCGTTACTTAAACACTCACATTCACGCGGAACGCTTTAATCGAATGTTCACCAGCCGTCTGCTTGTGAGACTCGGTGTCAGAGCGACGTGTTCTTCTGTAAGACAACTCTCATCGCTCGGTATAGGCGTCTCCTACAGTCGGCGAGAAACAGCGGATGCGACACAGCTTGGCACACAGGACAACGCTAACCGCCATCTTGCCTTCACACCTATATCCGGGAAGCGGGCAGAGGAAGAACAGTACGGGGAATTTGAGACGAGGGGAAATCGATCCTGGTGTAAAGCGATCACGCGTCTTTCGCGAGGACATCAGCGTGGCGGGTGATACACACGCGGGGAGGAGGGCACCGAGAGCGCCGCGTTCGCCGAAAAACGGAAGACGGGCACTTTCACGGAAATCGGTGCATAGACCTTGTACAACGCATCGGGGAGGATAGGAGTTCGTTCGCATGCAGCGTGCTGTGGGGGCTGAGACAACTATGCCATGCGTGATTTCACATCCGGCGTTCACGCACGCACATACAGGCACACACGCACACTAGCGCGCACATACAGGAGGACGCGTGCCAAGCGGTGGAAGAGGCAAGTTTCCATATTATACTGGCGTGTGTAGCGGCGGCAACGGTTGGTGACCGCCGCTTTAAAAGACATTCGTTGTCATCTGAGGAGCGTTTGAGTAACCATCGCACCAGCGAACCCAGCGCATCTATCCCTCTCCTCGTATTAGCGCGACTGCTTCCCCCGTCGCCGGAATAAGTCCCGTGTCAGGCGGCCGTGAGCGCCAAGCGCGTCTTTTTGTTTAAAAATGACGACACGCGCCGAGATTCGCCTCGCGTTCTGCGTTGTTCTGGCGATTCTCGTGACGGCGAGCGGACAAGCTGTTACCGGCATCGCGACAACACCTTCTGCTACGACAACAGCTACGCCAACAGCTACGACAATAGCTGCGACAACAGCTACGACACCATCTGCCAACAGCACGACGCTATCACCGAGCGACCCGAGAGCCCAGACCGGCATTGGAGCTTGTACGCCGTCGCAGGATGCGTACTTCACGGATGAAAATGGACGCTACCGGCAAGACGGGTTTCGCCCCGGTGGATGTAAGTCTATTCTAACCTCGTGATCAGTGTTTTGTCGGCTCTGTATTTACCGAAATATTACTGATTTGATTCTCGAAGCACGTTCTTTTATGATATAATGATTGATTATTATTGTAATTAATTGTAATAGGATACAATGTTAAGTTACAATAATAAAGTGCAAACGTTTTCGAAACTTTTGGTCGGAAGCTGACGCGCGTAGTAAGAAAATGTGGAGACAATCCGTTGTTACATCAAGGATCCCCGTGTTCACTTGTTTACATCTCTGTAGGTTGGCAATTACCGTTATCGGAAAACATCTCGCGACTGAGAGAGGTTGAGTACGAAGGATATGATGGCTGGTATAACAACGTGGCTCACCCGGAGCTTGGCGGAGCCGGTGAGAAACAGTTCATGCAAGCTTACAAATGTTCGCAGGTTCTCCCGTATAGCGAAACGTATTATATCGGAAATGTTTTGATTTTCAATAAATAATTATTATAATATATATATATATATTTGTTTGCCCCCCCCCGGCGTGTGTGTGTGTGTGTGTGTGTGTGTGTGTGTGTGTGTGTGTGTGTGTGTGTGTGTGTGTGTGTGTGTGTGTGTGTGTGTGTGTGTGTGTGTGTGTGTGTGTGTGTGTAGTGTGTAGTGCTGACTATGTGACTTGATGTGCTGTGTGCTGTGATGTGTGTGTGTGTGTGTGTGTTGTAGTGTGCTGTGTGTGTGTGTGTGTGTGTGTGTAAGTAAGTGGTGCCGTGCGTGGCGCGGTGTTGTATTACTAAATATAACTAATACGACCTTTAATTGTCTCATGTCTATGCACCAGAAACGTGTTAATCTTGCTGCTGCAGACTCAGCACTGATACGCATACTACCGCCAGCCTACTCTGACGGGTCATATCACCCGTCGGGACAAGACAGACCGAATCCGTTCAAAATCAGTGAGGCCGTGTTTAGAGGCGAGACAGGATTCCAATCATCGAACAGCAAGACAGCGCTCTTGGTTTTCTTCGGTTAGTATAGCGGTGCTCTAGCCACATACTGTGTCGTATTTGTCAAATATTATTGATTAACAATATTAATTACCAATATACAGTTGAACCATAACAATTTTACGTTACTATAATTATACTCAAACAGGATAAGTGGTGAGTGAATAAGGTATGGTAAGGTGGGAATAAGCTATGTGGAAGCATTTGTGTTGTGCAGCATCCTAGTAATGAAAATTACTGTAGCGGCTTCTGATAGATTATAATGTATTATGATAATTATATATATATATATATATAATTATTTATTAACTATAGTTATGTTCGTGTTAATATAGATATTTATTTATTTTATTAAACTATACATAGTAGTTTATAGCCAGTATGCATGATAAGCCGCAAGTATAGGGACGGATACATTTATCAAAATATACAAGCGTATTGCAAACTCTTTACCTGAGAGGTGATAGTTATAGTTAACTGATACAACACAAATAATACATCTCTTGCAAAACAGCCAAACAACACGCCAGAAAACACCGATGCAACGCTGATGGGTTATTTGATAACACCGGTGTATGACAATGCTACAATCCTGGTGCATGATAGATATAGCCATCACAGAACACTGATACAAGCAAGATCAGCTACAACCGTCATACCAGACAGTGGCGTAGCCAGCAATTTGAAACAGGGGGCCAAAGGGCGAGGAGCGAGGCGACCGAGGGGGTAGGGGTAGTGCGGGAGGGGGTAATCCCCTCTCCACGGTAGGGAGATTTTGCAAAAATTACGTAGCGTGAAAATGGCATCTTTCTGCACACTAAACTTCAGTATTAGGGGTAAACTTATGATGAGATAGTGGCATAATCCTAATCCCTTATAACCCCCCTCCCTCGCTTTTTATTTTGTTTCCACTCCGATCCGATTCAACGGGCGACGAATGGCCCTGGCCTGTGGCGCCGCGAACAGGCTCGTGAGGTTTACCCACGTCCAGTTCGTGGACCCTGTAGCCAAGTGTTTTCAGGAGGGAAGAAAAGAGTTAGCGACCAAAGACAGTGATGAAGCTATGTTGTCAACGGGAGGAGGGTTGTTTCCCTCACACAGAGTCAGGTAATGATTTTGGAAATATGCTGCATCAAGATGGCCATTTTTTGTGCAATTTCATTATTTCATTATTAGGTGTAGGTAATAGTGGTATAGACAAAATCCAATTCAGGGCCCTTCCTCTTAATTTTGTGTAGCTCTCCGATCAAGAGGGGGTTCATGGCCTCCTTGTGCCCCCACCTATAGCTAGCGACCTTATGTCCCTCATTCAAGCACTAGACGAATGTTGGAAATTAGTCTTGATTTGTGTTGTTAGCAGTAGCCATGGCAATGTTTGCATTTATCCGTCAATAAAGCTGTCAAGTTCCTAGGATATAAAAGTAAAAGTTAAATTAATTGTTTTGAAAAAGTTAGAGGCATATTAAATGAAATCGAAAGTAAAGATCTAGCGGAAAAACAGGTAGATGTGTCTGGAAACTGCACTGAGAATAAACAGATGGCAATTATTTAAAATTACGAAAGATTACATCGCTTTAGAATAAAATTAGCGTAATATTCACCATTAATTTTGTTCGTTATAAAAAATGTTTTTGGCTATTCCTCTGATGAAGAACTAAAACTCATTATTGAAATTATGATTCAAATAAAAACAAGGTGGCTGCCAAATAGCCACTCTATTAAAAATAAAAACGAAAATTTACGACATGAAAAAGAATTGTGTCTTTGGGCCTCCTCTGATAGAGCAACAGTTCTCTAAAAATAGTGTTGAATCGGATTTGAAATTAAAAACCGAGCGTGGGAAATGCCAAATGGCTGCAGTCTATAAGTTCGAATAGGCAGTATATCAGTTTTTCAATCAAAAGGCATTTCCCATTTCTTTTCTTACTAGTCAATAAGGAGTTACAGAACCATAAAGTTCCATCAAAAGCCAACCTTGCAACAACAACAATCTGACGACAAGAAAGAATATCTCCTTGTCTTTATTAGTCATGTTATTTTGTCTGCCTGCAAGAAATCATCAAATTCCAAGTCAAAGTCTTCATCCGTCCGAATTTTCGCACAGAACATTTTGAGGATTATGTTCGACATTAATGTCATCTGACACTAACTCACGTTCAACGAAAAGGAGAATGAGAGCAGAGAATCAAGGCTGGGTCGAACTGTAGAACGAAGTTTACACTTGACAATGCTCATTTTAGAGAATGTTCGTTCAGCAGATGCAGAAGTAACAGGAATTGTGGCCAGTCCTGTGAAGACGCGTGAGAGGCAAGGGAAATTTTCATTTTTTATTTTGCTTGCCAATCAACAGGGGGGGCCATGGCCCCCTTGTGCCCCCCTTAGCTACGCCAGTGATACCAGATACAACACACGCCGGTCACCACGCCAGCTGGCATGCGGAAATATCTATCACTTTCATAGGGAATTCAATTTCGAAATCAATATGGCACTCACTAAAATAAATGCGGTTCTATATAGCATTGCTGCTCTGTTTATTCGATTTCGCTTCTCGTAAAGAACCTGAAATAAGCTTCGTTAATAAGTCTGCAACGGAAAACTCGAACAAACCAACAATTATAAATTATATAAGTAATAGAAATACGAATAAGCACAGGCATTACGTGGACTACGTGATTATAACAAATCATTCGTGTTCGTTTGAAATAGAGAAACTCCATTCAATATATTCAGACCCAGGGTGTGTCACGGGCTATATCTGAGCCGGGCACGTTTTTTCTCGATAACAATAGAGCATGTCACAAAACATATTAGTAGCTGTTGCCGTGTGGGCATCCGCAAAAGGGCATTCTACATACCGGAAAAAAAACTCGCTTGAAATGGTGCATATTTCCAAATTCAATCATGCAATGTTGCATGTTGAAACTGATCAAAATTGTTTCTTTTTAGGCCAGCAGGTGGTGGAAGAGATTCTAGATGCACAGGCGCCGGGGTGTCCGCCCGAATACTTCAACATTCCCGTTCCCGTAGACCACCCACACCTAAATCCCAACAATTTCTCCAGCTTCGAGATGCCTCTGCTGCGATCACGCTACGACATGAGAACAGGCTTCTCTCCTAACAACCCACGGCAACAGGTGCGTGACCTCCAACCCGCCGCCAGGAGGCGCGCTTGTTTAGATGGAAATCCTGTTTCTCAATTTAGCACTAATTTGATACTGCACCAGCCATGTACACGATTCCATTAAAGATGAAGATGCTCTAATTTTTTAAGTTAAATTATGTGTCTATGTAATGATTAACATTGTAACTAAGTAACTAACTTTGTAAAAATTACAAAGGCCAAAAATTTGAAAGCCATGAACTCTTTATATGGTTCACGTATTTATACCGTTCGATTTACTGATACCCACGCGAACGGTTTCGCAATACTAACCCGAAAACGCCATTAAAAACTTGCAGCTGAATGAAATCACCCCGTACATGGATGGTGGCCTAACCTACGGCGTGACGAAGGCGTGGGCAGACTCGTTGAGGGAGTTTGAAGGAGGCCGACTAGCGCGCGACACGAGTGAAAGCATCAACGTACCCGTAAGAAACACGATTCGTCTTCCAATGGCGAATCCACCGCCTCCCAGAGACCACCCGCAGCTGAAGAATGTCAACCGCTTCTGGAGTGCGTACGATACTTTTGATGGGGGAGGGAACACGGAAATCCATACTCAGTTTCCAGGCAAAAAATATGCTATTTTCCAGTTCCCGGTTAATTACAATCGCACGGCTTCCTCGCCTCCCGGTTGATGTACATTCCCGAATACCGCCGCTGCCTCGTCAGAACGTTGCGAGTCTCTCATGTACGTTACGACGTTCACGCGGTAATATAGTAATCTAGTAATATAGAATCGAATTCGGCGCAAGCAGCAACAGAGCGTGAGAAGCATAAGCTGGTGGAAGATGCAGTAAAACGACGTTTCCTCTTTCAGGGCTGGGAAACCCTCGTGGAGACGAGAATCCGTTCCTGCTGACATTCGGCGTGCTCTGGTTTCGCTGGCACAACTACCTGGCGCATCAGTTCCAGGCGCGACACGTCGACGAGCCGGAGTGGACGGACGAGCGCATTTTCAACGAGGCGAGGAAGTGGGTGATCGCCACTCACCAGCACGTTGTCATGTACGAGTGGCTGCCGTCATGGCTGGGACCCGAGAACAGCCTCGATCCTTACACAGGTAAGCTCGACATTGTAGCGTGAGCCTTACGCGGACTAGCGTGTAGTTAGCCCGAGATAGCGGGCACACACTGCAAAAATTTAGCGCGCGTCTAGCCCGGACTAGTTTGATGTAAGATCAAATTTGCAGTCTGTACGGGGTATTACAGCGTTAATACGCAACGTAAATATACAGCCATTTTACATTAAAAAACAATGTACATCACAGTATTATCAATTTAATTCCGATCATCAATTATGCGAACAGGTTACCACGCGGAGCTTGATCCGGGCATCAGCGCCGTATTTCAATCGGCAGCTATGAGGTTTGGTCACACTCTCGTCCCACCCGGAGTCTACCGCAGGTACAAACTGCTAATGTATAGATTACTTATATTAGCTACCTGTTAACTTAATTCCCAAGAAAAAATAGGCCTATTGAGTAAGAACGTTAGTAGACCTAATAGTAAGGACGTATTTCATGCACGAATTATGCCTACGAGTACGGCGTTAAACCATAGAATCACTCTAAACAAATGGTTGCGTGTCGCAGGAATTCCAACTGTGAGTTTCGTGTAACGACTATGAAAACTGGAACACAGGATGCATCAGGTCACAAGGGATTACGAACTTGCAATACCTTTTGGAATCCTCAGGTAATCGTAGCAAACGAATATAAAATCTATGCGATACGGCCCCGGTACTCTTCTTATTGAATGCTTATTAGAATTTGCATATCTAATTACGCACGTGGATAAATGTCAGAGTTTCTGTGATAAGATCGATGACCAATCACCGATCATAGAACCTAATCCTGGCCAGTGCAGCACAATACCATTGAGTATTCAGCATTCTAACACGCCCATGGAAAAGATAACGCGGATTACAGCAACAATTTTCCACCCACGTTCTTAGGAGAGCATTAGGGAGAATGACATTGATGAACTCTTGTTGGGGATGGCCTCGCAAGTGACGGAGCGAGAAGACAACATAATAACACCGGATCTGCGAGGCAAGTGAAGCGACTGCGAGTTAAACCTAGTCGATAGCAGAAGTTTTACTTTATTGTGTTAAATAATTGATTATTAACCTATTATTTACATCTAGTCGTTAACAATGTAAACAAGTATAGATAACTTTGTTTAACTAATCCGAACATGCCCAACTATTACCCGAAGTACATGATACCCAATGGTTATTTCTCTCGATTTGTGTTTAGAGGTCAGGCATATAATCGGAGACTTTTTGCGTGAGGTTCGTGCTTAGAGGGCTAGGATTTAACCGGACATATTTCCCTAGGGTCTGTGTTTTGAGGGATGGAATTTAACATGAGATATTTTCCTAGGATTCGTGTTTGGCGGCCTTGAATTTAACCGGAGAGATTTAATGGCCGTCAACATTCAGAGAGGAAGAGACCACGGATTGACGGACTATATGTCTGCTCGCCGGCATTTTAACCTGCCAGCGTGGGACAACTTTGAGGACTATTTTAATGCCACCTACCTAGACGACAATGGAGTTGAGGTTCCGCGATTTCCCCTCTTCCACGCCGGACCGCAGCGGAATTTGAGCGAGGTGGGCTGATGCAACGTGCACTGTCAATCCCTTCACGTGGCATCTATATTAGTTCAGTTGTAGTTAACAGTAAAGGTTCACATACGAGCACTGAACCGCTGTTGCCGTTCTGTTGGTTTGATGTAGTTCCCGATGGTTTTGCGTCGTAGTGCGGTGGCATGTCGCACCTGAAAAATTCTAAATGCCATGTTTGTCATTCTGGGGCTGAAAATTGTCTACGAGAACGAAGGCTAAAATTTACTAGACGTGTGCGAAAAATTGTTTATTGGCGTGTACATGGTTGCAGGCACTGGAGCTTAGGCAGAGAGTCGAGGACGTGTTTGATGGACGCACTGACCAAATGGACATCTGGCCTGGAGGAATGTTGGAGACGAGAGAGACTGGACCGGGAGAGCTGTTCACGTATGTTGTGTGTGTGTGTGTGTGTGTGTGTGTGTGTGTGTGTGTGTGTGTGTGTGTGTGTGTGTGTGTGTGTGTGTGTGTGTGTGTGTGTGTGTGTGTGTGTGTGTGTGTGTGTGTGTGTGTGTGTGT